CTTATGAGCTGATAAATCTCAGCTCGTATCATCCCTAAACTACAAAGTAGTTACCTTAAGTAAACCCAAGACTCAATTCCTCAGCCAGCTTCTCTATAGTCCACTGGTTCTAATCCTGGTTCTGGCAACTTTCACTCCCTACACTTTAACTCTTTCTCTCTCTCTCATCTGAACCTTCCCCCAAGTATCCCAGGTACCCCAAGCACACACGCATGCGTGCACACACACACACACACACACACTGTACCATCCAAGTTAGGAACTTACCTGTGTGTATATGTAGGTGGGTTGTATGTGTGTGAACTGGTGAGTGTGTGTGTGTGTGTGTGTATATATATATATATGTATGTCAGTGTATGCATGATATACAAATTAGTGATCTGTGTTTAACTTTTGGGGTGTATAGTGTATGTGCTTGAATTGGTGATAGGTATGCATGTGCCTAGGCTGGTTTGGATGCGTATGTGCCTGAGCTGGTAGTGTGTGTGTGTGTGTATGCACCTAATTGATTTGTGTGTTTGTATATGTGCAATTGTGTCACACCCTCCTGTCTAACAGCGCAATATTGAGATCCTGAGAATTGGCCTGACCTCACAGGGCAACAGCTGCAGTAAACATATACTGTAGACATGCCCACAGAATCCCAGTCCGATACTGCACCACAGCATGCATAGTTGTTGCATCTGACAAACTGGATATTGGGCAGATGAAGAAGACTCATGGAGACTGCTGTATACTGTTTAAGGACTTTTCTTTGCAGAGTAGGAGTCTCTTTGTACTCTTACAAATAGAAAAAAAATCATTGTATAGGCAATTCAGAATAATAGTAATCTGTGACAGAAATATTTTACTTCCACAGTTGCTATAGGGTAAGTAATCATTCCCTTCCAATGGACTGCTGAACTATATTAAACATATATGTAGATACTTTCTATTGTAAAGATTTGCATGTGACATTGAGTTAGCTTTGTATAGAACACAGTGTAACCACTGATCATGTTTTACCATAAGAATGGCTTCAAGAAGTGTCCCAGCCTTAAGCCTGTGTTATTGCTGAGCAGATTATAGAGTTTAAAAAAATAAAATGAGAGGGATTATCAAGATTTAGTAGTGGGGAAAGATAATCTTATAGAGCAGTGGTTCTCAAACTTTTTTTTCTTGGACCACTTGAAAATTGCTGAGGGTCTCGGCGGACCACTTAATCTCCGTCATCAGAAAAAATAAATCAAGCGCAGGGCCAAGTACAGATATTCTCGATTGTTCCACAAGCTTTCTGCGGACCACCTGAATGGAGCTTGGTCGGCGAAGCACAATATGAGAACCTCATGTAATAGAGGAAAAGCAGGCCAGGGAGTGAAGAGATACAGGCTTTTTAATCATTATGCCATCAGTTTCAAATTATACTTGTAAATGACATTGGGAATCTGGATGAAAATTTCATAGTAGGACATAGAAGCACTCCTGCTTCTCTGCCCACCAAACTAATGAATTTATACTTTGGATATATTTGATGTCTCATGAGAATTCACAGATGTGTCGTAAAGTAAATTTCACCATTCGCATCCACGAATTGTGTTGCTTTTAACAAAAGCAGTGATGTTCAGTATATAACCCCTTAGCATTTAGTCAGGGGTGGGTGGTTCGGCCCTGTGTTCCCTCAATTCTGCTATTGGGGTCTGTGGGCATTGGTTCTTAAATTGCACGGGGAAGCTATCCCTCGTGCAGCATATTCAAAGCTGGCGGCTGTCAGCTTCCCCTTGCTATCCCCGCCCTGCTGTCCAGTGGGTCAGCAGGGGTAGGAATTGCAAAGCACTCAGGATTTGGACCCAGCCTCTGGGAGTCTGTTCCCAAACCTAATTGCTAGCCCTGTCCAGCTTTCTCTTGCTGCCCCCACTGCCCAGCTGAGTGGCACAGGCAAAGATGTCATAGCTCCTGGGTTTGGGAACTCAGGTTGGGGAAGCTATCCCTGCCCCAGTTCTCAGCCTCACAGGCTTTAAATCACAGCCCTCTTCCCCCTCCACCACAGCTCATGACCATGGGCTTTAAATGCCAAGGAGACAGGAGACAGGGTCAGGAAGGCTGTCTCTACCCCTCAATCCTTGCATTGCTGAACACAAGGCTATTCAAAAGCTGGGAGGCTGCATATTAGCACTCTGTCCCCCTCCCAGGTTGGGGACGGAATAGGTTATCAATTAACGGGCTCCCATAAGGATGGGGGTGGCCAGAAAGCAGCCCTCTAGCGGTACCTGGGTGGAGTGCTTGCCTGTGTAGGTCCCCATCCAGAAGACTGGAATGCATGTACACTCCAGCTCCTGGGCTATTTTTCTACCAGTAACAGTTTCAGAGAAATTCTTATCAGTAGAAATGATCACATGTCCGTGGCCCTTTTCTTCTTTCTCATATGCAAGTACGGTTCCAACTATGTAACGAGGCTTTAAGTTTGTGCTCTATATTCCCAGTCAGCTGGATAGGTGATTTTTTTGGAACGTGATACTGGATAAAGTAAGATTTTGGGAGGTAAGTGAGATTAATAGCCCCCGTCTCATAACGTGCAGAGGTAGTAAGAACCTGCCTTTTCAGGCCTTCATTCTTCTGAAATCAGGGCTCAATACTGAAAAACCTTTTGCCACAGAGCTATTTTTTGTAGTTTAGGGATGATATGAGCTGAGATTAGGAGATCGGGGTAGAATTTCAAGCCTCAGATTTGGAGGATGTACTCTATGGGTGTCACCTACTCCTGTGGTCTCACGCAGAGAAAAAATGCAGAAAAGATTTTGACTGTTAATCACTGTAACACAATTTGACTGTAACACAGTTCCTCCTCTCTAAAACAGGGATTACAGCAGCACTGCCATTTGTCTGTCTTGTCTGTTTAAGTTGCCAGTTCTTCAGAGCTCAAACTGGCTTTCACTTTTGTATGCTTCTTAGCACAATGGGGCTCTGTCCTAGCTGAGGCCTTTAAGCACTACAAAAATACAAATTTAACAATACTTTCCCTTTTGAGAAGAAAATATGGTAAAGAGTTTACCAAAACATGTTAGTATTTTTTGCTTGAGTCACCATTTAGGAGTGATGGAGCACTTAAGAGATTTCATTGCAGCTCCAGAAGCCTAAGATCAAGCCCTAGACTTGTGCCGAAGTCTACCTCAATCAGTCTAGCACAGTCATTCAGGCTATGGGTGTCAAAGGCAGCCAGACATGATGCTATGTTGTTGGCCACAAAAGCTGGTAGGCCCTAGCTGCACATGTCATATGGGCCTCAAAGGTCAAGGTTTCTTTGACTAATTGTGAACCTGTAGAAAACACAACCATTCAAGCATTCTATGAAGACCAAGTGAAAAATGTTATAGTCTCTGTATTCCATTTTGAACTTTGTGGAATAGTTCTCCTTTTTTAAAATACCAGATCTTAGAATTTAGTGCCTTAGTTGGCTATCATTGTATTTTCTGTAACCTAGTTGCATTCCCCTCCTCACTCCCCATCCCTCCTATGTTAGTCCTTTGCTCGGGCAATCTGTATTTCCCTACTGGCTTTGTCATCCTTTTGAGTTCGTAACTCTTAACATCTACTAAATTAGTACCACTTTCCTAGTTGGTACCAGATGACTGAATCTCCTTGAAGCCAGAAGATTTTACTAACCATATCAGCAGCATTGAGCTTTCAGCTAAATTGTCTTCCTAGGAAATGTCCTAATTAAGTAGGCTTCCTAATTTAAGTCTGCCCTGATTTAAGTGAAGTACACCATTGTACTTGTATGAACATTCTCTGTTTTCGGTAGGTGATAGGATTAGTTATAGGCATTTTCTTAGGAATAGATGAAATACAGTTGCAGTATGATGCCTACCCCTCGCAGCCTAGTCATGAAATATGCACGTTCTTCTTTCAAATGTGTTGGCAGAACATGGCAGTGTTCTAATATAAATGATTTAGATGCTGGAGTATAAAACATGCAGCATTGTCTCTTTAGCTTGTTGAGTCCCCAAGTGAAGCCATGGGTGCTCCTGTGGATAGCTAGATGGAGTAAAATGTACTCTAGTACACTTTCTATAGTTGAGAATTGTCATGGTTTGTTTTAAAAATAACAGGACATCTCTTAACATTCAGGATACATTTTTTCAGCCTGAAGCATCATAGCAGTCTTTTTAAAGAAACTCTAGGAAGGGTGTTAACTTGATCAATGCTGTGTAGGAAGGAAGGCTCTTTCCTACTATTTTTTCACTATGACTTTCACTGACATGATTAGGCTGGGAAAAGACTTACTGGCTGACAGCCCAGGACAACCGTGCAGTATCTCTAGTCATCTGGAACTCAAACCACACTGCCCAAGGGAGAACCATAACATAAAAACAATTTAGGTTACATACTGAAACTTATAAACATGGTTCAGTTAAAAATGTATTTTAAATAGTATTTGCATGCACTTGGGTTGTATGTTTCCCTGAAATGGATGTTCTTTATGAGCTAATGAAACTTTTTAAAAAAATAAACAATTTCCAAAAATATGGAAGACTTTTCCAAAAACATAGAACTGATTCCCTTTCATCTCAAATGTTTAAAGAGTTGGCTTCCAAAATATTTTTTGATTTCCTTATAACACAATGCACAGGTCCTTACGCAGACAAAATTCCCATTGCCTCCCATATGAATTTTGCCTGAATGAGGGTCTCAGAATTTGGGCCATTATTCAGCTTAGAAATTTTACACTCTTAAGTGAAGGGGAGATTTGGGGAAAAAAGACATTGGCTCATAAACTAAGTTTTAACTTTCCAGCTTTCAATGAAATAAGTCTGAAATTTTTAACAAAATGTTCTCCTTCTTAAAAATGCCAATTCATATAATTTCAATAGCCAGAATCAGTTTCTTTTCATTTACTGGAAAGCTCTAACATCTGAGAATAACACTATTTATGACCTAACTGTTAGTGGGGAAGAGAGAAATTATCTTATTGTTAACTTGTTCCATATTTTGTTGTCTGATCTTGTATGCTGTTCTCATTACAGGCTTTGATGAGACCTGGACGACTTGACAGAATCATCTACATCCCCTTGCCAGATGAAACCACTCGTCAAGAGATTTTTAAACTTCAGTTTCAATCGATGCCCATCAGTGATGAAGTCTGCTTGAAGGAGCTCGTTCTGCACACTCACAAGTATTCAGGAGCAGAGGTAAAATAATTTCTATTCTCCAAATGGCTCAGGAGTGAAAACATAGAGCTATTTTTGAAAAAAATATTACAACTTTAATTAAGATCAATTCACTTAAGTGAAGGAAATTGTGAAGGCAAATATATGTGAGAATACAATGCCCTTTCTTTATGTGCACTTCCTTGGTGATTTGCCAGAAAAGATAATCCAACATGAAGTCGGTATTCCAGGAGCAGTTTCAAGAATAGCTCTGGTTAAAAGGAGAGCAGAGGTAAGATGACCCCATTGAAATTATATTGTGGGAGAGACAGTGAAAAGTGACAAAAGTGGTGAGAAGGTATGGGTCCTCTGAACAGTTGAACTCTGCTGATCTCTGAAGATCCTTCCTATTTGGAGGTATGATCATTAGCCTATTCTATGTAAAGGACAAAGAACTACAAAACAATGTGGGGAATTCTTTGAGGGAACATTACACATTTTCTTTCTAGAAAATATCTTTCCACAAAGGGGTCAGATTTGGAGGCTAAGACTAAAACTATAAAAAGTAGTCTCAGTACAAGACAGAGGACGTTGAGTGTTGCAGTTCTGCGCTGGGGTGATGGGCTTGACGTATCCCAAGGTACATATTATGAGTTTGTGCTTTGAAGAAATTCTTAGGTTTATTATAGGGCATACTACAGTAGTGTTTGTGCAATTGCTAGGCTTAGTAGTTGTGATAGCTCATCCTGGATTAGATTTCCTTTCCTTGTTCGTCCTGTCCCTGAATTATTCATATGTGTACAATACTCATTGCACTGTATTATACTGTATTAATCCCATGCTCCTGCCAGTCATGTACAGTGTTCAGGAAGAATTTTTTATTTCCCCTTAAAATGCCTTATTTGATGTCTGGGATTCAAGGGAGGGGATGAATATATTAAATATACCAGGTTTGTTTATATTTATCTATATTAAAAGTACCAGGTTTATTTATTGAGGTGCTTAGTGATTGTGGTGTTGGAGGGGTCAGAGTCTAATGATGCAAAGTGTCAGCCACCTGTAAGTAGACACTACTAACACTGTTATTATAGGCATAACTAGCACTGCAGTTGTGGTTTTATAGACACAACTAGCACTGTAGGCAATCTGTAGTTAAGGTTACCTAAAACTTTCTATTATAGGATCTCATTTTCATTTCCTTTTGATTGTTCAGGCTAAAATTGTCCTTGCTAGAGGTTTGCCTGAGAATAAGACCAGGAAAAATATGTTGTTTTCCTCTGTTTAAAAAAAAATGTTACAACCTTTTTGTTGGGGAACTCCATGCTTTGGAGCAGACTTGACATCATCACTTTGCTGTCAGTGATATCACATTTGCCATTCTTGTGAGAATTCATCCAAATTTGTCTAAATTTTAAGCCTCTGAAAAGGTTAAAGACAATTAAGAAATATGTATTTTAAACTACCCTCTTTCCAGACTGCAGGTGCTGGAGAAAGGATAGTTTAATTGAAAACATTTCTGGGGAGATCCTGTTAGATCTAGCTCATCTAAAGCAGTAATGGAAAGTTCCTCTAATTTAGCTGATGATTACAGAAAAGAAACAGTCCCCTGGCTGTGGCTTTATATGAAATCAAACCTTAAATTAGTTAATCAATCACTGATTGCATCTACAGACTAGTAGCAGGAATAAACTGTTTTACAGTAGCATTTATCATAACATGAGTTATGATCATATTATCTTTCTTTTGCATCATTCAAAGAAGTGTTGCAATTGTGACAGAGCAGTACAGAGAGAACTTCTCAGTGAGTGTTACTTGGAAGTATATGTTAAAAATCTGACGGTTGGCACAGACAGTGCCCTGTTTCATTAAGCCTTTTCTTCCTGGTGTCTCCAGTTTCCCAGCTTTACAAATAGTTTCCGCTGCTGAATGGCAAGTTCCCATATCCACTGTTCTATCCTTTGTTTACTGATAAAATGGGAAATACTTGTTTTTATGACTGTTATATGCTGAATAAATAGGGAACGTCTCATAGAGGTGTCTTGCACTATCCAAAAATGAGCTAAATAAGAAGCAAGTAAAAGAGTTTAGCATGCATATGAGCTTCATGCTTGGCATTTTTCATATCTTTTTCTTACCACTTACAACTTGTACCTCTTAGTGAATATATAACAGATATATAAAGAGAGAGAACAAAATGTATTTATTTTTACAGCTTTACAGTGAAAGGAGGGGGACATAACTTGTGAGAGCAAGAACCACAAGTGAATTGTGAAGTTTCTTCCTTCCCCTTATAAGTGAAGTGCAAAAATCAAAAAACACCCTTGGGGGGTCAGTCATACGTTAAGTATTTAGTAACTCAGCAGTATGGGTCTAAGCCAAACCCTGTATCTGAGCACTCCTAAGTTGTGGAGAAGTTTGGTTTAAAAAATGACCTTAACCTCTTATGTCATTCCCTAGTGCACCCTCATGTTTATGCTCACTATATATGCGCTTGTAGCTCCTACATTGTCTCAAGTGAACTCATATGGATATAGCTTAAAGTATAAGTGGTATAAAGTCATTCTTAGAACTTTTTTTAAATAGTAAGATTGGCTTCCTCTCCCATGCCAAGGATGGTTAGAAGAAGAATAAAGCCTTCTAGGAGTCAGGAACCAAACCTATCTTGAGGTCAACACAGAAAAGCATTCCCTCCCTCTCTCCCTCCCTCCCCAAAGAGACTTCTCTGGCTTCTTCCCTCCTCCCCCACCCAATTCCTCCTCTCAAGAACACAGGCAAATTTTTCATGCAGCTGCTAGGACCAAGTCATTCACAAGGTAGGTCTGTCTTCTCTCATGAAAGGTCTGTAGTAAACAGCTATCTGCCTTGTCATGTTCTTAGGTTGACCTATTGTCTCCCTTGATTCTTTGTATTTCTGGTGGGGAGTTGGTCCCTTCAATCACAGTTCTCTTCTAGGAAGTTCTGTTAAAGATCCTCAGGGCTGCTGCCCCTGGACACAACAAAGCCATAGGAAACAATGAGACCCAGCGCTTATGCTATTCCCATCTTGCCATCCCTGAAACTTCTAGTAGTATCAGGGAGGAGTAATTGAGAAGTACTCATTGGATCTAATAAAAAAGCAAAAAAGGATCTTAAATGACCTAATCTTTCACAAAGTTATTTTCAGCATTTTTACTTTTTAACAAGGGTTAATGTAACAGCATCCCTAGTTACAAAAGAATGTGTGTTTATAAACCATTTTTTGGTGTTTCTCTGTTAATGTGATATACATCAGCAAAGTTTTAGGCTAGCTTTCCAAAGTTCCTAAAAGTTCTGTTTAGAAAAAAAAATCACTATATTATACTTGTATGGCAATTTAGTCATAGCATTTCCTAGGGTGCTTTTCATTCTAATGCCTCAGACCAAGGTGTTCTAGGCACAACTTTCAGTAGTTTATATGATTTATTTTTAACTATACTTCCGGCAATCAAAACCAACTTTTTAAAGTCAGAACCCATAACTATTTTTTAAAAATCTCCTGCTAGTTAACCTAAGTTCCTTAAATCTCACTCATTTTCTTCCATGAATTTCCCTCAGTATAGCCACTTTTTTATAGAAGTCTTGAAATATATAACAGGCCTTAATAAGAACTTACTCTCCTGTTCAGACATGGTTCAAACAAGATTTTCTTAATCATTTCCTATTTTCTCTAGTCTAACTTTATCCCAGCTACATAGTTGGTCCAATAAAAGATATCACCCTAAGAAATCCTTGCTTCTCACATAATTTCTGGACCATCACAGCTACAACATCACTCTTACAGCACTGTATTTGTATAGAAAATACAAGCAGCTGAAGCCTCCAAAGCACTAGTGCAAGTAAAAACAAAATACCTGCTAGCATTTTACTTGTTCTGTAATACTGAAATTATGTAGTCTCAAAGAAGCGGGGACATAGCTGGAACACATATTGGCATACAGAAGGAGGAACTACTACTTTTACAACTATCAAGAAGGATGTTTTCTGTAGGATTGAATTTGGAAAAAAAATGAACTTACCACTTTTCTTCACAGCCTAAATAAGGAAAGAAGTTACCTGAAGTTTCAGTCCTTGGAATTTGATCTGTGGGTAGAGAACAGTGGGGACAGAGACCATAGTTTCTGCAATTAAAATAACATTTAAGAAATGAGTTAGATAAATAAGGGGCAAAAATCAAAGGGCAAGGCAGTTGCCATAAGTACCTGAGCCCCAACACAAAAGAACACACCTATTTAAATTTAGAAGGCAACAGCTGCAAAGAAGACAGTGAGCAGCACTTTAAGTGGCACATGGATTGTTTTAACTTAGATCTGGTTAGAAATGATAACAATGATGTCTCCTTTGGACAGATACGTTTATGAAAAATGAGTTTGAGACTGTTTATTTTTAAATATATGAAGAGCAGTTGATGGCGTGAGAGAAATGGCTGGCATCATCTGTATGGAATATCAGTTTCTATGCTTATAGGAAACAATAGTAACAAGAGAGAGACATAAATCTTTCATTTGTACTCAGTTGAAGCTGAGGAATTGATGTAAAAAGTACCTTTCTCTCTTTCCAATAACTCCCAGAGTAAACATAGAACATGCAAAACAAAATGCCAACCAAGTTTCACTGTGGCTCACATGAAAGATAATTTGGTGCCAAAAAAGAAACTTTGCAGCAACACACACGCTCAAGCAGTTTGAATATTCATTCCAAAATATAGAGCTATTTTATTTTAATTAGATGGATTTTTTAAATTTTTAAACCTGAACTTCTAAATAAATACCTTCTAACCATATGAAAGAAGCCAACTTGCTAATAATAGAGGATTATGTTGTGAATAACACAACAGCAGATAATGGGTAGAAGTAGTTGAACAAATGAGATTACCTTGAAGCACTCTAAAGATATGAGAGGTTGGGATAAAGAACAAAGTGATACAAAGTGGGATGTGGTCTTTATACTTGCAATGCTTTATGAAACAGGTCGATCTTCTAATGGGCTCTTAATCTTCAGTTAAATTTATCTGGACACTGAATCAA